CCTTCACAGGAATTTCTAGGGAAGTGGGTATGTTACACCCATCGTTTGCCGTACCGTTCTTGATACCACGGTAGGGAAAACATGGGAATCCAAATAAAGTTTATTCTGAATGATTTATACAAAAGACTTCGAAAATTTACCGCCGGAAACTTGTAAGCTGAAAAGGCGCTCCGAAAGCCCTTACGCTGATGATTTACTGCACATCACTATATTCACTTGGAGTTTTGGTTGAAAAACATTATTGCGATACAGTTGTATTACAACTAGATTGCGGTGACTGCTGAACTCGCTGAAAAGGATTCTATTTAAGCAAGGGGTTTACTTAGCAATCTAGCTCCTACATATTAGAATACAAGTAGAAATATTAGCTCAATGTTTGTCTTTATATTTATTACATATATTTATAATATTTACAAGTCCCTCTCGAATAAGTTGTTCTGCAAAATGAGAAAAGATGGTCTGCACAAATAGGGAATAAAAAAGCCAACAGTTGTGGAAAAAACCAATTTGGAAATCGTGCGCCACCATGTGGCGCATGCGTCCACACGGAGCAGGAAAGCCGTGCGTCACCATGTGGCGCGCGTGGTACGCAATGTGTTGACGAGTGCCAGGCGACCCTTAGTTGGTTGCAGCTCGTTCGCTCTAGGATTTGAACGGGCAGAAGATGTGGTCTCATTTTGCGCGTTTTGACGGATTTTGCTTTTCTCGTTACTAGGCACTATGCAGCATCTCCATTCGTAGATGAACATAACGCTAATCATCTGCGTCGTAATCCCTTCGCGTCAAAGGAATTTCAGATTATTCATTTACATCTTGCCCACAATATCACGTGCGTTGACGTTCCATCACAACAAAACACTATAAACAAAAATTTACGTCTGATTTGTTAAAAAGCTCGAAGAGTCGGGAGCTGCGTGTGCTTCAAGGTTTTTTTTTTTTTTTTTTCCGCCGAATATCAGTCACAAATGCTGGCGGAGGCAACGCTTCCACTTTGTTCACGGAGTGCTGCCACTAGCAACTCTTTTTGGCCTCTTGGTTTATTGCACTGACATCTCACTCTGCTACTGCATCATAGTCTCTCGGTTTTTCTCTTGTTCCCTTCAAAAATCTAACGCTTTAACCAGAATCTTTCCTTGTGCCGTGTGATACGTAGCATGCCTTGGTCGCTACCTTCGACCAATAACTGCGGTTTTCCTAAGTTTGCTTCCTCTCGGAGACTGATCTCGTGAGTGAAACTTGTTTTGTTTCTATGATCATAACTGGAAACTTCAGTGTGGAAGATGCGAGCCATTCTTCCTTCTTCCTTCTTCCTTATTCTCTATCCTTCTTTCATTGTGGTGGTGAAGTCCGCTTCCTCCAAGTGGTGCCACTGGGAAACTGCTCACTTTTGTGAGCTGAGCTGATCGCGGACATTCGAATGCAGGCGACAGGCCCTCCCGTGACAGGCCGGCCTACGAACACCCACGTCACATCATCAAAAAATGTCAATGCCATATGATTTTCGAGATAATGCTACGGCGTCCGCGGGAGCCGACGCGCACTCGCAAAGCCCGGCGAGTGTGAAAAGTATGCGAGGGTCCTCGGTGCAAGGACGGCATCGGGGGGCAACTAGGCTAGTCCAAAAGTCCCGCAACGTATGCAAGACTCGCGTCGCAACGTTGAATGTTGGCACGTTGTCGGGCCGCTCTTTTGAGTTGGTAGAGACACTGGAGCGCAGACGAATTGATCTCTGTGCTGTGCAAGAAACGAGGTGGTCCTGCTGCAAATCGAAGGACCTTGGCCGTGGCTTCAAAGCCATTCTTTGCGGCAGTCCCGGGACAACTAACGGTGTCGGTGTTATCGTTTCTGAACGTTTCCGTGTGACTCGATTGTCAGCGTTGAACGTTACGATGACCGCCTAATGAAGATCGTTGTCGCTTTTGAGCAACGTCAATATCACTTCTTCTCTGCGTACGCTCCGCAGACAGGCTGCTCCGAACACGCCAAGGACCAGTTCTGGGCCTTGCTGGATGACAAAACAGCTGATGTACCATCGCAGGATGCCCTAATTGTTGCCGGTGACCTAAATGGTCACGTGGGGGCTACGAAAGATGGTTACAGCTGTCATGGCGGATTTGGGTATGGGTCACGAAACGCCGATGGCGAGAGAATTCTAGAGTATGCAAACTCGCACAATCTCACCATCGTGAACACAAACTATCGCAAACGTGACTCCCACCTCATCACGTTTACAGTGGGGATACCAGAACGCAAATTGATTTTGTCCTCGTCAGGCAGCGTGATAGAGGGCTAGTGACGGACGCGAAGACGGTGCCGTACGAGACGGTCGCCACGCAACACCGACCACTGATCTGCACCCTGAAGATCACTCCTCCGAAAGTAAAGCAAGTTGAACGGTGCGGGCCTGCAAGGATCAAGTGGTGGCGACTGAAAGAAAAGGAATCTGCACTGTTTTCCCGCATTCGCTTACCGACAGTAACGACCGTCGACGAAACGTGGGAAAGTGCCACCGAAGCGATAGTCCGTGTCGCTCGCTCCGAACTCGGCACCACAAAGCCTGGGCGTCGGAAAATTGACAAACAAACATGGCTGTGGACGGATACTGTCAAGGAAAAACTGCGAGAGAAGAAAAGATTCTATCATACGTTCCTCAACGACAAAACAGCCGAGAACTGGGAGAACTACCAGAAGGCGAAGAAGGCTGCAAAGAAAGCCGTGGCTATCGTCAAAGCTGCTCACTTCGCCAGCGTTAGCGAGAAACTCGAGACGCGCGATGGCGAACGATATGTCTACAGACTAGCCAAAGCTCGCCATCGCCAAACCGAGGATGTCGAGAAGTTTTTCGGCATTAATGACGAGAACGGGCGGCTCCTAATGGACCGCAAGAAGGCAGTAAAGCGATGGCACGACTACTTCGAGAGAATCTCGACAGTAGAATTCTCACATCCGCCAATCCCTTCTGCCCCTCCCGTCTACGGTCCCGTCTCGAAGATAACTGTGGAAGAAACTGAAGCGGCGCTGAAGAAGATGAAGACAGGTAAAGCAACGGGTCCCGACGACTTGGCAGCCGATCTGTGGAAGTCACAGTGCTGGCAATCCTGCGGAGTGGTTGACGAAGTTCTTCAACCAAGTCGTTGCAGAAAAGAAAGTGCCTGAGAGTTGGCAACAGAGCACGACGATTCCCATCTGGAAAAGAAGGGCAGCCCTGCAGACTGCACGAGCTACCGTCCAATTCGTCTACTTTCCCACGCCATGAAGATATTTGAGCGAATTATAGATCGTCGTATTCGCGACATAGTGCAGCTCGCCACGAACCAGTGTGGATTTGTAAGCGGCGTTAGTACCATCGATGCCTACATGCCGCTCGTCTACTGTTAGAAAAACACCGCGAGAAACGGAAGCCTCTGCATTTTGCCTTCCTAGACTTAGGAAAAGGCTTTCGATCGCGTTCCGCGTGATGTAATATGGTACGCTTTACGACAACATGGCGTCCCCGAAGAGCTTATTGAGTGGGTTCGCATGCTATACTCGAGCCAAAGAGCCGAGTGCAAACGTCAGCAGGAACCTCAATGGAATTCCCCATCTCTGTTGGGGTACACCAAGGCTCTGCACTATCCCCACTCCTTTTCGTTGTCGTCATGGATGCCATATCACGAGACCTCCAGAAACCGGCTCCATGGACGCTCCTCTATGCCGATGACGTGATGCTCGCCTGCGAAGACAAAAACTCACTCGAGCAGCAAGTGGTTTTGAATGTCAAAAAGACCGAGTACTTGACAACCGACTTGAGCGAACACAGTTCGGTAAGAATTAACGGCACAGAGCTATCACGCACGACCACGTTCAAGTATCTTGGATCGGTAATAGCGTCAGATGGTAGTATGGGTACTGAAGTGAGTTCACGCGTGAGTGCTGCATGGTCCAAGTGGCGTTCTATGACGGGTGTTCTCTGCGACAAAAAGATTCCAGAACGCCTGAAATCGAAGATCTATAGAACCGTCATAAGACCGGTGGCAATGTACGGCGCTGAGTGCTGGCCACGACTAAGGAAATGGAAGCCCGCCTCGGTGTAATGGAGACGAAAATGCTGCGCTGGACGGCTGGTGTCACGCGTTTAGATCGTATTTGTAATGATACCATACGCGATCGCTTTGGTGTAGCTCCTATTGCTGATAAGATGCGGGAAGCTCGACTTCGATGGTATGGTCATGTGCTTCGTGGAAACGATGACACTGTGCGTAAGATGAGCCTCAACATCGATGTGCCCGGAAACGGCCTAAGGGACGTCCAAAGCAGCGCTGGCTTGATACATTGCATATGGACTTAAAGTTAGCTGGTATCCATCCCGATCAGGCATTCAATAGGGAAAAGTGGCGTCAACACATCAGAAAAGCGGACCCTGCCACCAGGCGGGACAAACGCTAAAGAAAAAAGAAGAAGAAGATTCTTCTTTCGGCTAGATTCCTTTGGATGGCAAGGGAACGATGTTTCATAATTTCTGAACCCGTGTGGCAATATCGAATATTGTCATGCTCTGTTTTATTTTTTGTTTTCATTGTACTGTTCGTTAACTGCCCAATCATAGAATCTGTAAAAAGTCGGATCTCCGCGAAGTAGAAGGACCTAATAGACTTACATCTGGAGCGTCGTGCACCTCTCAAGTTGCAATGAAGGCGGCTCTGCCTTCTTGCTGGCTCTCATTCACGCGGTACCTAACTTCAATATCGGAGGTTCACTTTCCACTTTGTTCTGCCATGGATTTTAGTTGGATTGTCGGATAAGTCATCATCTCGCTAAAGTTTAGTGGACACTTTCATTGCTTTGCCCTAATCTTGTTCATTTTCAGTGCCCTCTTAACGTTGTCGTGGGATCAGGTGAGACAAGCGCAGGCTCCTCTCTCTCATCATGTCAAAACGTGACCCTTCACGGAACACACATTTATCGATTGAAGCTTTGCACTCCTATCAGAACATTCTTCCGAAGTTGACACTGCTGTCCTTTCAAAAGTAGCGATGGTAAGCGTGACCGTCGCGGAACTGCAATATGCACTGTAGGCGTCTGACAAGAGAACAATACTTTGATAAGAGGAGTTTGCCAAGAACACTGAACAAATCTATATATGGCAGATCGGGTTAAGTTTATAATCCTTAGTGGAATGGGAAAGAAGGGAAAAGTTTAGTACCATAGGAGGCTCGTAGTGATCCAAACCATAGGCTTCATACCCTGCGTGGCCGTAGTCGTGTTCACCGCACCAGTCTGAAACATGGAAATTCTCGTGGTGAAACTCCTTTTAACCTATTTCGCTCCCTTCATTAGCACCGGATTGCACCTATGGGAAAAAGTTAATGAGTATGAGCTGCTAGTAATTAAGATTGACTTTGCTTAGATGTGGTGAATTACTGTCGTGGTCGCTTGTAGAATAACTATTTTTATATTATACTTTGCACTCTTTGCTGCATACTTCGTTGTTCGTTGAGTTTGGCTTATGATTTATTAGCAAACGAATGAGAAAATCAGTGAATCAGGATTGCAACAAGGAGCGTATGCCATGGAATTTATTCTGAGAAAAGTAATGGAAAGACCGACCGATATCAAAGTCGAAGCCTGAGAAGTGAACTCTTTCGACGATCACGTGGCCCCTCAGTCCCAGAGCTTGTACAGACTCCATTGGGAAGCGATGAATGTACTGAGCTAGTGGATAACCGTTCACCTCAATCTGAAAACAGACTGTATGGGGAATTGTTCACGTTCGTCTTTTCATATAAGAAAACAGGAAATCACACACATTTGAAAGGCAGTTGTCAGCTACAGCACTGGTCCTATAATTCGATGATATTAGGTATATGCTCCCTTCACACCATATCTACAGGGGTGGCCAAAAAAAGACACTTCACTCCACATTCAAAACGGAATTATTTACGCGTTGCGAAACCAAACCAAATGACCCAACTGAATATTAAAGAGCACGTTATAATCTATCAACAAGCTACACAACAGCCTTCTACACCGACGACATCAGAAGATTTTCCCACGGAAACATGGTTCACGGTACGAGCTCAACGAGGTCGTCGAGGTACCATAGACCATTACGACGTCCTGAAACGCTGGTCAAAAGCGGTTTTGCATAGTCACAGCTAATGTCTCTGGGAAGCTATTCACAGTTAATCCATTGAAGAAATTATGTAGCAGCTTCAGGCCGGAGCGATTACGGTAAGCCTCGTTGAGCTCGACGGTGACGGCAGATGACGTCATATTCTGAAGACGGCGGGGGCAGTGAAGGAGGGCCTGCTTCTGTTTACGGGGGAACACCTAAGGAATATTCCGCCGTAAAACTTTCATTAACATCGGCTCCCTGTGCGACGAAAAGTTCGATGATGTGCGCCATGGGCTAAGTGTCTCTTTTTTTGGCCACCCCTGTACACTGCGTCTCCTAATTGTACAGCCACCTAGAAATTGTTCGAAATCTCGAATTCCACAAAGTTGTGGAAAAATGTCCAACAGGAAAACTGTGTGTATTTTGGTTGCGAATACAACAATCTGCTTTACCTTCTATTTTCTCCTTGCTAATAAAGGCTTTCTTCAGGGACGGAACATCTGGAACGAAAAACGTTAAAAGAATGACAGACAAACAGGCCGAAAATGGATCCTGCTCCGGTTGGCTTGGTCAGACTTCCCTTGCAAAAATGACTCGGTTTTCGCGACGGTTTCTTTTCAAAATCACCGTCTTTTTCATTTCCGCTAAGAACGATCTTGGAAGTTATTTATTGCATACCCAGCACTATCCAGTAGGAGATTAAGTTTTAAAGAAGACTCAACTTCCGAACACGCCTTGGTGAAATTTGGTGCTGTTCTCATAATGTCGCGTTTATCTTAATCAAAAAGCAAAGAATAACGTCCGGAGCCCTTCTAAGTTCCATTTCCTACAGGATTCAAAAAGAAATTGCTAATCATTCCGTAGTTTCGACTGAATTCACGCGCAATGTGACCACCTGGCGCTTAATTTTTTTCTTTATTTGTGACGACCTGCTCCCTGAGACCTGAGGCATTAGAAAAGCGACCCTTTTTGGAAAAATTGTGATAAAAATTTTTCGCATTTCCAACCTGGAATTTTGTGTTGATTTTCGAATTCGCGACCAAATTTGACACAGTTTTCCTGTTGGACATTTTTCCAGAACTTTGTGGAATTCGAGATTTTGAACAATTTCTAGGTGGCTGTATAATTAGGAGATGCAGTTTACATAGAAGCTGACCTCTCTACACTTGACTATGGATGCGCGTGCACACCTACCGCAGACAGTCATTAGCTTTACTGGCCGTCTCACCTCATAATAATGCTGGTGGGCGCGAATGTGAAGACTGAATCGGTCGCCAGGGTGCAGCGGATTGTGGTGTCTGACCTGGAGTCACCAAAATATATTGCAATTCCACTTGGAAAAAAAATAAACATGCCTCTTCGCCCCAAGATCCGTGGCTGTGTGAGTTTATCACCACCTCACGCTCATCATGAAATCTGAAGTTCACGTGAAGAACGACGTGTGGCCCAGACAGAAACTCAACGCAGAAATTACTGAAGAGGTGATTTCGTTTCAAACTGACCCGCATCATGCAACTGTTTGAGTCGAAACAACTCACTCATGGCTGCAACAGCTGACCGTGCCATAGACGACGATTTCGGAGCCGGGACGGAGATTCTCACGAATGGGAATAGCACACGGAACTGTCTGAAAGTAAGGCCTAATGACTGAATAAGGTAAGAGGACGCAGAAGCCTTACTGGAGAGTAGATGTCATGCATTCCACGCTGGCCGGTGTTTCCTCAAAGCACACGGAACGGCTCAACCGCATCGATTAAATACACCCTTGATCGCTGATTCATACTTTGAATTGTTATCACCGTTCCATGCATTCAGTGTCAAGCACTGCTCATGGAAAACTCGCTGATTGGCACAAATGTCAATTTTTCGGTCATCGTCTTCTGAAACGCTGTACTGAAAGCACATAACTCCAACGATAGTGTGGTCGTTTCGATAGTACCAAGACGAATTGATGGTAATTGGGGAATGAGGTCCACCTAGTATCGAGAGTCTGCACTGTTGTACATTTACATAATGTCCTAATGCACTGTATTAATGGCTGTTCTTCGTTGTATTTGAGCTTACCAGGAAAGGTCATTTGGTCAACCCGGCCATTGAAATGAGATGTATATGTGTATACGCGCCTTGGGACGCTGAGCTCAAATATGTGTTCCTTATCTGCTGAACTCTTCTCTGAAAGGAATTATGAAGCAGAAAAGCGCAGGGGCTGTGGTCGAGGCTCACGAAAAAGAGGTCAGGGGATCTCCCTGGCGAGTTTGTTCTTTTGCCGTTTGCAGTAAGATAGCTAGGAAGACTCCTAACATCGCTAGTCCAACATGCTTGCGTATAGTTAACAGTACAAAGAATTTAAGGGCAATTAATAACGAACTTGGGCGGCATCGCTCCTCACTGGGCGCTTGTAGCGCAGGCGCCAGGCATTTTTGCTTCGAACAAGTATGATATTCGTAATCAGGGAGCCAGACTCTCCCTTTGAGCAAACTTCTAGCGAATTCTGAAATTTTGACCTAACCTCGAAAATTTGGGCAGTCACTTACTCACCGATCCACCAATCCATTACAAAAGGCTGGCACTTGGGTAGAATAAACCTTTTAAACACTTTTCATAATAGACAAAAATTGTGTCTGGCTTGCCCGTCTGCATCATCCAAAGATCTGCAAAGCATTATTTCCTAATACAACCCTTCTCTCCCCTTCCCCCGTCGTCCATGATTGGTCAACCCAAAAAAGTGGAGTTTGAGGAGTGGTAATCCCATCACTGCTCCGCTTTTTCTCAATTAGTTCATGACCTCAGATTTGGCGAAAACTCGTTTTTAGGGGTAGTTTGATCCCCTGAATACGAATATCGTACCTACTTGCCACGGAAAAGCATAGCACCTGCACTACGGGCACCATGGGCACTCACAGACAAGTAGTGCTTAAACTTTAAGAGGATCTGCTTGCAAACTCTTCGTAGATGTAGCGTCGGGCGACCGTTGATTGGTAAAATAACGGATTCAAAAAGGCTTTTCAGCCATGTTGGAAAAAAAGCAAAACACCAAACCCCGAAGGGGACCGAACCCACGACCACTGAGAAGCAAGACCGCTACCAACTGCGCTACCGAAGCTCATATCCTTCGGTTCTCCTTTCGATCTTTTATAATGCGGCTAACATGTGATTGCAGGCAAGACACTGAAAATCAAGGGCGGCAACAAAAACCCTCCGTAACTCCTTTCAGAGAAGAGTTCAGCAGATAATGAAAGCAGATTTGAGTTCAGCGTCTCATGTTGCGTACAGAAATGTGCACCTCATTTCATTTGGCCGGGTTGGCCTAATGACCTTTCCTGGTTAGACCAGGCTCGCAAGTAGACCAATATTGGGCTTTGCAACGAGTGCTGGATTCCAGTGTGGGGTATGCATTTCAGGTAGTGTTTGATGGGTCCAATCCGGCGCACAATTATTACCGGTATCCAGCACGTGCAGCTCAATGCTCGGCACTCTCAAACTATTTTTGTTAAGATGTGAAGGGTCAACTTGAATTTTCAATATACCATAGGTGGAAGACCAACCATCTTGACTTCCTCTTTTCTATACCTCGAAAGTGAAAATCTTTCAAGTTGTTTGCTGTTAATAAAGAAATTAATCTTCTGGCCTACAGTCAGTTTGAGAATTGATTCATCTTTGCTGTACTGCTTATATCAGCACGTAGTAAACGGGTGTTCCTAAAGATGTTCATAGCGCGGCGAAGGAAGAGACGCAGATGCGGCAAAGGACGAGTCGCAGCGCGTGCTGTGCGATATGAGACGTCACTCTATTTAACCTGACGCCTAACCGCTACAGTATGCGCTGCGACTCGTCCTTTGCCGCGTCTGCGTCTCTTCCTTCGCCGCGCGACGGGCCTCTTGGGGGACACCCGTAGCAAGCAAGCACTACGTGCCCATGCGTTTCTCTGAATCTCCTTATCAAGGATTTGCATAGGAGGAACCACCTTTATTAGTACTGTAAAGCATTGAACGATTCATACATGTGATTCTTTCTCCGACATTTGCATTACTGGTAAGTCATGTTTCAGAATTTTTATACGAGTGCAATTCAAAACGTACTCCTCACTCTTGAGGAGAGGCTAAGACGAAGGGTTTGTCTTCGAATTGTCTTACCAGGAAGGTCTTTCAGGGCGTGACAAGCTTTTTGAAAACGGTCTTTTGCATGATATAGGGGCAGATGCGGGAACCACAGAACCATGTTCAATTTTTCCTGAACGGCCCTCTGAATACCAGAAAAGGAGGTCCCTAGTTCGATTCCTCGTGGTAACAAATTTTTGCATTTCGAGTTGACGTGCCAAAATTCGCGCAAAATGGAGTTAGAACCAACCAGAACAATCAGAACTCCATTTTGCGCGAATTTTGGAACGTCAACTCGAAATGCAAAAATTTGTCACCAAGAGGAATCGAACTAGGGACCCCCTTTTCTGGTATTCAGAGGGCCGTTCAGGAAAAATTAAACATGGTTCTGTGGTCCCCGCATCTGCCCCTATATCATGCAAAAGACCGTTTTCAAAAAGCTCGTCACGCCCTGAAAGACCTTCCTGGTTAGATAGTGGCAGAGACTGCTTT